ATGAAACGGATCATCATGAAACGGATCATCATGAAACGGATCATCATCATGGATCATAAACTTTTCACATCATTTTATCCAATGTGAGCAAAATGAAAAATCTTTTCACGCATGGAGGATCTGTCTTACTGGCATCATCTGAGTCGTCGTCGTCATCCTCTGCTGATCCTGGTGGGAGACTCAGAGAGGGGGGGTTGTTCTCACGTGGGTTCAGGGGCTGAGTGGCTGCAGGAGATGAACCAGACAACAAGTTGTTTATTTCCTACCAGGTCTGAGGAGACATCAAGGCATCTGCAGCAGCAGCTGGAGACTTCCAACACCACAAACTGTCTCGTCTTTTCTTCAGACAGCTGATGTCCAGTGTTCTGTTAGGTCTGTTCTTAGAAGAAGCAGTGTGACTGTACCTGAGGTGGGGGTCGCCTGAGGTGGGGTGGGGGCTAACACATGTTTCTCTGTCTTCATCACAGCCGGCTGAGAAGAAGGACTCTCATTACAGCCGTCGGCTGATTCACGGGACTGCTTCTGCTCTGCTCCGAGCTCTGGAGAGACAACATAAGATGATCACTGCAGCACGACAGTCTGTTCAGTGGATGGATGACTAACAGGAAGTGGACCACTGACAGCTTCTGTCCCAACCCACCAATCAAACTAAAACTAAACAAGCCGTACGCCAAGTACCCCCCAGTGCTGATGGATTAGTGACATCTTAGATTACAGATCTTATTGGTCCATATTTTCCTAACAAAGCACTTCACTCTCAGACTGAAGGTTTACTTGTGGTTCCTAGAGTTACCAGCAACAAAATGGGAGGAAGATCTTTCAGTTCTCAGGCTCCTCTCTTGTGGTACCAACTTCCAGTTTCTGTCCGTGAGGCTGACACATGGTCCAGTTTTAAAACTGGGATTAAGACTTTCCATTTTGATAAATCCTATAGTTAGGGTCGGCTTGGGTTTCCTGAGCTATCACTTAATTATGTTGCTATAGACAGACTGCTGGAGGACAAATTGTATTCAATTCAATTCAAAAATACTTTATTAATCCCAAAGGGAAATTATTTGTTGTTGTAACTCGTTATCCTCATTTCATTAAGAGATGTTATAGATGCTGTAGACAGGAAGGATCTCTTGTAAAGGTCCATCCCACAGTGGATCCTAAGAAACTGGCTGCAGATGCTGTCCGATCCGTCCACCCAGACTCGGCTGGCCTCTCGGTTCCCCGGGGCTGTAGGACCGCCTGAATGCTGGACAGAACTCCTCCCAGAGAGATGGCCATAGAAAGTATACCTGGACCATACATAGTACACCTGGACCATAGAAAGTACACCTGGACCATAGAAAGTACACCTGGACCATAGAAAGTACACCTGGACTGTAGGAAGTACACCTGGACTATAGATAGTACACCTGGAATATGGAAATTACACCTGGACCGTAGAAAGTACACCTGAGCCATAGAAAGTACATCTGGACTATAGAAAGTACACCTGGACTGTAGAAAGTACAACTGGACCGTAGAAAGCACACTTGGACCTGTACTTCTGTGCCTGTTTCTACTTCCTGTTTTCTCCATTTCTACTTCCTGTTTTCTCTGTTTCTACTTCCTGTTTTCTCTGGTTCTACTTCCTGTCCTCTCAAATCCAGCTGGTCGAGGTAGATTACCGCTTGTCCTGAGCCTGGTTCTGGAGGTTTCTTCCTGTTAAAAGGAGTTTTTCTTTCCACTGTCTCCCTTGTGCTTGCTCAGGATGGGAGACTGTGATGAAGTGAAGATTCAACACAATTTGCTGCTTCCTGAGAGAGAACTTTAATAACTGTATTTTATAATGTTTGTGAATGTTTCTGTTCAGAGTCCTGAAACGACGTATGTTGGGACTTGGAGCTGCAGAAATAAACTGAATTGAACCGAACAGTGAATATTTGTGGTTTTGGAGGTGAGTGTTTTTCTGGACTGGAATTGATCAGTGAATGTAAGTAAACCTAAATGTTTTTGGTGTAAGACATTCAAGTGAGTAGGAGTTACACTATGGAGAAGAACGGATAAGTGTTTTTTCTTTGGTCCAAGGCAACAAAGCATGACAGATTCCAGTGAGTGGAGGGAGCAATGGTGGAGCAATGATGGAGCCATGGGGTGGCCAACGAGGGCCTTGACCACCACAGCTTGATCTTTAGTCATCCCAGTCATTTGAGGCAACTACACAATTAAGCAATATAAAAACTAGAAAGGGCAGCATGGTGGCTCAGGTAGTTGAGCTTCTGCCTCTCAGCGAAAAGGCTGCTGGTTCAAATTCTGGCCAGGGGCCTTTCTGGTTGGAGTCTGCATGTTCTCTCTGTGCTGGGTAGGTTTTCTCCGGGTACTTCGGTTTCCTCCCACAGAACAAAAACATGCATGTTAGACTGATTGGTAACTCTGAATTGTCCCTAGGTGTCCCTGTGATGAACTGGAGACCTGTCCAAGGTGTACCCTGCCTCTTGCACAGTGACTGCTGGATATGGACACCAGTGACCTGAAAAGGAAGCAGTTGGTAAAAATGATGGATGGATGGATGGATGGATGGATGGATGGATGGATGGATGGAATGACAAAATATGGAAAAATTTTCCATCAAGCTGAGTGTTTTGATGTATGAAAGGTTGAAGGAGCACAAAGTATGCAGAAGTACTTTGCATAAAAGAGCTACACAACAGTGTGACTGCTGACTCAGCATTTGCACATTTAAAAGTGCATGTTCATGTAATTTACCTTGACCATGATGCATTGTGGGTCGGGGAGGTCCACCCTGGTTTCCCGGAGCCGAGCGGTCTTCTGTGGTGGACTGATGAGGTGTGGATAGAGGTAAAGGAGAAGGTAGAGCAGACTGCTGGTGTCGTCCCTTAAAGAACCACGCCCCTGAGCACTTCTGAATCTGCACGAAGACACAATCAGTTGATCATTGTCCACTGAACAACAGAAATGTCTTGTCCTGTAAAGTCTGCTGTAAAGTCCTCTGTAAAATCTGTTGCACACTCAGCTGTAAACTCTGTTGAAAACTCAGCTGTAAACTCTTGAAAACTCTGTTGAAAACTCTGTTGTGAACTGTTGTAAACTCTGCTGCAAACTCTGCTGCAAACTCAGCTGTAAACTCAGCTGTAAACTCTGTAGTAAACTTAATCTGGTGTCAAGACTAAGCCTAAGGTCAAAATCCTTGACCTTAAGAACCTTGTGGGACAGAAACTGTCATTTTATTGATTTGAATCCAGAAATACAGGTTCACCCATCCTGAGACTTTCTTTCTTGAAGATTCAAGTGAAAAGAACACTCTCTTTTTTATTATCATTACTATTTTACAAATGTTGATAATCAAAGTGTCTTAGTTCAAACCATTTTAGATGCTGCAGTGAACTAATCAATTTTATTAACTGTGTAATGATTTTTAATTCTCATGCAAAGTAGAACTCATGTTAAAGCTGTTACAGAGTAATTATACATTTTCTGATTTTCTGTCTTTGAATGAGCAAGTGTAAGTTGGTCCAAGGTTGGAGTCAAACGCAAAACAAGTTGTTGGAACGAACTGTCATGTTTTTAGAATCCTCTCAGACGTAAATATAGAGGTTTTGGCACCTGTTTCTGAAACGCGCCAAAACAAAACTCTCTCTGTCTGTGAGAACATTTCTGATCTGTCCCATAACAATTCTTGCTGCATTCTAACCTTTTACGTCACAAAACACACCCCGTCTGGTCGGTTCTGGCCAATGGGAGACTCCCGTATGAACCGGGAAAAGGGCTCTTTAAATTGTCGGTACTTCCTGGTCTACTCAGATCTGTAAACTACTCAGTTCTGCTGGAGTGCTGTGAGGGTTCCACTCGGTTCGGTTGAGTTCAGTTCTGTTCAGTTCTGTGCGGAGAAGCCCAGTTCTGGGAGCCGGGAAGATCCTGACATGACAACAGAGCTCTTCCGAGTCATGGGAATATAACACTTTCCACTCGCCACTACTTCTGACAAGCTACAGCCATCCTAAAAAGACGCTGGACAGGTAGCGTTAACGGAACTCCATATCTGCTGATTAATCTCAGAAAGGTAATGAGTCAAGTTTCCTACCAAGCGTACCGAGGTGAGCTGGGTTCTGATGGAGAGTGTCGGTTCTGGTGAACACTTCCCCTCACATACCATCTTTACTCCCTTTAACTTCTTTCCCATCTTTAAACTTTTCTCTCAAGTAGAAATTCTTCCAGATATTTTAGAAATGTCTGTGTAAAGTGCTCATCCACATCCGTGTGGGTAAAAGATCATAATTGTACAGTTTTCATAAATGTCTGTGGTGAAGCAACGGAAAAATCATGGCCGTATGATTTTTCCTGATTGATTGCTTATGTTATTTTCATAATTTGCCAAATTAATGTAAATGTTTGATGTTAAACTTTGATTCTGTAAATAAATGACCGCATTCATTTTGATGGGTCAAACGTAAATGACGTCTCACGTTTGCATTTCATTAAATTCAATGCACGTTTTATTCAGTTCAGAAAAATGAGGAATCCGTGTTAATTGATGAATATATCTGAGCATCTGTTCATCTACAACTCTGTTGTAAACTCTGTTGTAAACTCTGCTGTAAACTCTGTTGCAAACTCTGCTGCAAACTCTGCTGCAAACTCTGCTGCAAACTCTGCTGCAAACTCTGCTGCAAACTCTGCTGCAAACTCTGCTGTAAACTCTGCTGTAAACTCTGCTGTAAACTCTGCTG